TTAGTACTTTCTTATTCACCCCAGCCAACACAGAACAATAAGGCCTGTAGAGACCAAAAAATATTCAACAACATAATGCTGTTTCCTCAATAAAAACCAGCTGGTACTGTACAAAACAACAGCAAAACCATGGACTAGCATGATATTTGCACTCTTGTGCTCTCAATAGTAAGAACCATATTGATTTGTTTAAGCAGAATGTAACTCAGCATGAGTCATGAGATGAGAAAAATAGATAATGAAGACACATCCCCCTGCAACCTTATAGCTGAGTTCTAGTTCCAGTGTGAACAGTTGCACAGATCTAATTAGAAAATGACAGAGCATTACTGCTAGAGAGAGACAGCTGACATAAAGCATTCCAAGGTGCTGTGGACAAAGGTCAGTCAAAAACTATCTTGTTTAAACACCATAAATGCAAATTTCATCATTTTTATGGAGTCAGACTTTCTGCAAGAACACATGTGCTTTCAGTTATCTATTTGTTCACATCCTCAAGTATGGTAGATAGATCATTCAGCTAGGAGACCCTAAACTAGATTACAGCTTGCGTGACTGAACCAACCTTGTTTCCTTGTTTTTCTTACATATATCCTTGTAATGGAGGCATTTCCACATTTCAGCTTTAGAATAACTGTGTATTTAATAGAGGGGAAAAAAAAAAGATAAAAAAGAATGTTCCAAGTAGTTGAAAGATTAGCAGAAAGAGAGTTGGGTTTGGAAAGGTTATCTAAAGCCTGAATAGAAATATCATTCTTGGTGGGAGATCAATGGAGGCCAAGCAAACTCATCTGGAACACGGAGATGAAAAACATAGGACAACTTCAGTAAAGAGTGATGTCATCAAATGGCCATGTGATATATGTCAAGTGTCATTCTTAGGCCACAGGTGGTCATTAGATTAATAAATCCAAATGAAACCTGAAGGTCACTTATGCTTGTCTCTGCAGCAAGAGAACTAATGAAAGGAGAGAATATCACAAGAGCATTTTATGTGTGTAGCCACTCAGCCACTAATTATGGATGAAGCTATTGCTTCCACAAAGAGCTGGCTACAGTGCCCTGCTGTGACTGGCAAAGGAGAGAGCTTGTTCTGCAGATGTAATGGTTACAGCTTGTTATCACAATGTCAACACTTAGGGTTTCTCTGAGTAGAAAGACAGCCTTCTGATCATGAGAGATGTTCCAGTTCTCTCTTCAGAAACTACAAGAAATCAACTCTGCTGTTGGGGCCAGACTCTGACCTGGGTGGCTGCATTCTGCCTTCTGTGGGCAACTGGACCTCTGGTCCCAGCTCATGTAAACCACCACAGTTTGTGACTCAGATAAAAGGTTTCAGTTTATTCTCATCTCTGTTATGAGAGGCAGGTTTAGTTTGAAGCCACAAAACCTCACCAATTTTGGTTTTGTTCTGCTAGTACGGACATGGGATGGCTCATTTTAGCATTCCTTTATAACTAAACCTCAGTGGTTGGATGGGTAAGATGGTAAAATTCCAATTTTAGATAATTTCTGTTTATAAGACACAGATGAAACTGGCAATGGCCTTTTACCTTAAATGATGCTAATTTTTGCTACCAAAGTGGTAGAGCTTGTCAAAAAGAACTTGAGGATCTCACATTTCTGATGTTCTGAAATGGGAGCTATATGGTCTCTGTTTTTCACATTAAACTTACCAAGATTTTCAAACAGCTGAGAGTATGACTGGTTTCTTTTCTTTGCTTGTATGAAAAATACTGCAGTTATTTATTCTTTGCGATTTGCTGCCAGTCTTACTGCTGTGTAAGCTTACTTAGAAGAAACTCATCAAGATTCAATTATTCATTAAAAGCAGAAGAGTTTATAACAGCAAAGTCAAGAGGCAAAGGCCAGAATCCTTCTGGGGCAGAAGTTCGATGTAGTCAGCAGAATTATGCCACAAAACGTTTTTCTCTTTAGAAAAGATGATTTATTCAGTGAGATGCTTCCCGGCACATCCAGTGGAAAAGCTGTTTTTGATGGGGTTTAACCAGTGGAGAAGTCATCTTTCATGTGGCAGGGCCTCAGGACTTTGGTCAGCCACAGTTTTGCAAGCCAAACTATCCTATGGTTATATGATATAAATAGCAAGCTTTAAGAAAGAGAAAAGCAGAGACAAGCTCTAGGACCAGGGCTTAGCTTTTCTATAAATATTCACCTAAATACAGTGCAGCTATTTCTAATACACAGAACACAGATTTCAACAAATAGATCTAGCATCTAGCAAATCATTGGACTAAATGTTTTAAAAATTTTTTCCCTGACAAAATTTTTATTTTTTTCATTCCCTCTGGCTCTTAAAAAAATATCTCCAGCTTCTCAAAGATAATTTCTCTACCTTCTGACAGGTTCTTTCACAATGTTGTTGACTCAGAGTACCACTGAAATGCCTGAAAATACTCAGATGTGTTTAGCACGTATGGGCAGGTTTACATCTGTAGAGCTCAACATGCTCAGCAAAGGAAAGAAGGAAAAGATTTTCCTCATCCATATGGGGAAGATTCTTATAACATAGAAGATCTTTACATCAAGACAACAGATTTTATTGCAGCTAGCTCAAACCTCCTCTGCTGAGCAGCACACTTATGACAGCAGGCCTGTTTGTGTAGCAAAGCTCTGTTTACCAGGGACAAGGGCACTGCCATCTGGCCAAGTGCAATTTGTCTAAGTTGACACAAGTCTTTAGCAAAGACAAGTAGATGGAATCTTGAGGTTGGCAGCAAAAATTCCACAAGCCTAAGAATGATTTTAAACCAAGAACTTGGTGAATATATAATTGGTTGTTGAACTAAGAGACCAGTTAAATAAAAAGAACAGATTAGACTGTGATGTCCAGGGTGGGGTAAGATGATCTCCCTTTCCCACTGTAACAGAGAATTGAATAGACTACTGTAAGTATGAAAGGTAGCAGCTTAAAAACTACTAAAATGATTTTTTTTCCCTCACGTCTTTACTGCTTTTGTCTCTTTGCAGAGCCAGGTTTGGTGAATCTTTGGACCTACTTAGATTCTTATTTGAGGAGTTAGGAACATGGATAAAGGTATTTTTTAGTACAACTTCTTTGCTTATGGAGGTACTGTTCAACTGGAGAGAGGAATAGTGCGTACCTCAGTGTTTCTTACAACAGAAATATCTTCTTAATGCCTTACTTATTCACCATGAGTACATAGCTCTCTTTTGATTTTCATCTCTTTTAACATATCTGGATATTATACCATTTCCTCAGCTGTGGCAGCACCAGGTTTCTCCTGGAACATGGAGACTAAATAGAATAGAATAAATTACTTAAGTCCACCTTTCTTCAGCAAGAACCTGGCTGAAATACAGTTGAGCTGGTACCAGGCATAACCTTGGATCATGATACAGAATTGTGCAGCCAATATACTTGGACAAGAAGTATGCAATCTTCATATATCCCATTGATTCTAGTTCACAGTCTGTTTCGCTTTCCTCCTCTCCCAAGTCACAGCAAGAATTACTACTTTATCTTTACAGGCTTCATATTTTTATCTACCCTCCAGGAAGACAGTGTCATCCAAAGAATAAAAAGAGAGCTGCAAGACATATTCATTAACTTCTATGGAATGCAAAGCATTGAACTGTTTGACTTTGTTTAAGCTAACTCATTTAACACCAACTGGAGCCAATATTTTTTTGTGGAGCATTTGGAAAGGAACTGTCATTCTTAAGATCTGCCACTGTAAGCTACAGAGGGATTCCAGATGATAAACTGTGGTGATGGAATGGTATTGATCTATCCTATTTGATCCAACAAGCTGATAAAATGAAGTTTATCAGATAGTCTAGTTCTGAGAGAGTCTGGTTCTTGCTTCCCAGTCAGCAGTCTTCATTTCCAGATTTTCATCTGAGGAACCCTCTTCAGATGAATTGCAACATCCCTAGTGTTTGAGAGCCACCAGCTTGCCATGGTTAGAAGCTAGAATAGAGGGTAACACAGTGACCACACTGTGAACTAATGTGTGAGCTGCACAGGGTACAACTTTAGCAACACAGGGTGGAGGTGTTAGACCAGCTCAGGCTCTAAAGCAGGCATGTGGCAGGTGAGCCTTCTAGAATTGAAATATGTCAGTCTACTAAACAGACATGGGTAGGACTCAAGGCAGACAGTAATGCTGAAGTGGCACACTAGCAATTGCCCCTTTTCTTCATCTGCAAAATGGATAGATTAACATATCATTATTTTTCAGTGAAGTTACCAGAATTTATGCATTAGTGTTCATCTGCTGCAGAAATTACGTCTTTCCTGTAGCTAAATAACAGCACCCAGTTAAGTGTCTTGTAGACTGACTAGGTAGCCAGAGCCAGGTGCAGAAGGGGACAATACACTGGTGATAGAGAAGAAGGGTTTTTTTTCTTGCATAGTAATTTCTTTTGATTGATTATTTTCTTAGTCGTGTTAGGCAATTTAGCCCAGTGATATATTTGGAGTTGAAAGGCTGTGACTTTTGTCTCCATTGTCTCAGTTTTGGCACATAGGGATAATGAGTTTCACTAACCCACAGTACATGTATTCATTGGCATTGGCTGCTGTTGACCATGGGAGTCAACCTGATTTCCTCATGCTCCTTTTTTGGAAACTTTCAAACAGGGATGAGGAAAATTAGCTGACTCTCAGTAAGCATTTTAAAAATCATTCTCTCACTGCTCCCTGCCCCAAATAAACAGCAGAAAAATTATACTTTGCCTAAGTCCTCAAAGAGCTTTGATTTTGCTCAGATGTTATGAAGGAACTTCATCATAACAGAAGTAGAATTAGTTTACATTCTTTCCTTTTTAATAAGGCATTGAAAATATTAACACTGGCTCAGCCTGAGTAGCATTTAATGTCAGCATCTCATCATTTGAGCCAAGTGCAATGCTGACTTCAAAAGCAAGCTACAGTTTAAAAAGCGGCTCCATAAAAATACTACTTACGTACTTCATGTTCATTATTGTTTATCTCTCACAGAAAAGAATAGGAATAGAGGCAGTTTATTCTTAATCTTTTATCTGCCAGCATTATGGTATTAAAAATATTGGAAATTCTACCAGAAATAAACTGGGAGAGGTCTGTTGGCAGCACGATGAAGGTGGCAAATGCTAACTCATCTTCCTGTAGCAGGAGTGTCTGAATGTCACTAAAAGAAGAAAAACTTCTCAGCAGCTCAGTTTTCTCCTCATCATGTCAAAATCTGCAAACACATAAAACGAAACCTCTTATTATGTCAGTGTCACCTTCTGCAGTTAACTGATGTTTAAAAGGATACATTTTAGAAGTACTAGCTTTCACCTTCACTCATCATCATTTGTTTTTGACAGAGGTAGTCAGGACAAGCAGCCTTTGTTCCTGTACTGTTTGTTACTGTAGGTAAAGTATCTTCCTACCCAACTTGGGATTATATATGACTCCATACTTTTATGGAATAGAAAAGAATGCACAAATTTTCAGATGAAAGGGTTGCCCACTCACCACTAAACAAACAAAGAAGCAATGAAAAGATATCAGGTCATTTTTCTTTTAGTCACCACCACTCACACCCCTCCTCAGCAGAGAGCACATCAGGCACGAACAGCCTACTACAGGAGAGTTCTGATAGAGGCTTTTATTTCATTAGTTGAGAAGATGAGGGCTACTTGCAAGTATTTTGAAGGTGGGTTGATCACTGTCAAAGATCACGACCTTTGCTTCCTTCTGCTGGGTAAAGTAGCAAAGGAAAAGGAATGAAAATAATTTGTGGGGATGCTTCCTGAAATAACCTACTTACCTGAGAGAGCCCTGTTAAATATTTTTAAGCTAGCACCAGCTAATTAAACAATTAAAGGTTGCAGATCTTGCCCTGAATATAGGGTCAGGTGCTGAAAGACTCTTTTGTAAGTGGTAAACTGCTGTGGCTAGACAGAAAGCAAACTACACGTGTGATCACAAGCCCTCAAAAAACAGTCCCTTGTAAAGGACTTTTAGAAAAGAAAAAAACAAACAGGGAGCCATTCAGTTTTCAAATCAGCTGGGAACAAATTTTCTTACTTTTGAACACCTTTTTTCCTGCCAAAAGCAACAAGATGAAAATGAAAAGGGTCTAAACCAGCTATTTCAGATCTGCGTAGTGCAGACCCACAGTCCTAGGTGACATCAAAAGCATGACTCCACATGATACTTCCTTTGCAAGGTGGCTGGAAAACAGATGAAAAAAACCAAAATCAAGTTTCACAACTTGGCAAAGAAAATTGTGATCTTTTAAAATGAAAGTTTGCAAGAGAGAAGAGAAAGAGAAATCAACAACAACCTGGATCCCAAAATGAGTGAGTTCAATTATCCATGCCTCAGCACTCTGCTTAAACTGAGGACCTTGGAGACAGATGATAGGAAATGTTCAAAAAATACAAGTGTTGGTCTGGAATAACTGGGCACTCTGACGGAAAAAATGGAAAAGCAAAACAAAGCAGCTGTATTGAAAGGACTCGTCTATACATGTGGGTGACATGCACCCCATGGCAGCAGAAAATAAGACTGTATAGGAGGTTATTTTCTTGTCCCATTCATCAATGTCTTAGATGAAGGGACAGATGCCTCCTCAGCAAGTTTGCTGACAGCACAAAGCTGGGAGGAGTGGCTGATACCCCAGAGGGCTGTGCAGCCCTTCAGAAGGACCTCAACAGGTTGGAGACAAGGGCAGAGAGGAACTTTCTGAAATTCAACAGAGGCAAATTCAGAGTCCTGCACCTAAAGGGAGGGCACCTAGAGGGTGGAGCCAGGCTCTTCTCAGTGGTGCCAGGCAACAGCACAAGAGGGAATGGGCACAAACTGATGCACAGGAAGTTTCACCTGAACATGAGGAAGAACTTCTTTACTGTGTGGGTGACTGTGCTTCCTCACTGGAGATATTCAAGAACCATCTGGATGCAATCCTGTGCAATGTGCTCTAGGGTGGCCCTGCTTGTGCAGGGAGGTTGGACCAGATAACCCAGTGGTCCCTTCCAACCTGACCCAGTCTGTGATTCTGTGATTCTGAGGTAACCAACTTCAAAGTATTTCCAATCTGAATAAACATCAAAGGATGAAACATTACTCGTGTACCATAATTATTATTAAAATGTTTTCTATCTGAAATCACCAACAAATTTCATTTTTATACCCTCTGAGTACTTAAATGAGATTTGAAAGTGCAGTTTTTACATTTGAAAATCATAGTTTTTTTCATTTTGAAAATTAGATTTTCAATGCAATGAATTCCCATCATGTGAGTCAGGAACACTTTAAAGTGACTCTTATAAAGTTCTTACAAGAACTTAGGGGTTTTCCAGCAAAATGAAACATTTAAACCAGGGCTGCTCTGGAAAGGATGCAGTTCCCTTCCATTACCATCCTCCATACCACCCTTTTTAAATAAGACCATCCTCAGATAAAAGGATATTCCCCTTTCTATTTATGCAAGATGCCTACTGAAATAAAGGGTTCTAGTATAGCCCTGCCTACCTATGATTTGTTTATCTAAGCATGTCCTATGCTTTCTAGGACCACAACTAAGCCCCAGTAGGATAGGTAAAGGCCTTCCTTCTGGCCTTCTTTCTGTGCAGGTCACTGAGAACAGAGATCTTTCTGCAAAGTCTTTTGTACTGGGCCTTGAAAACCTGTTCATTCTGCTCAAATGCTAATAATTCCATGTTGTTTTTCAGAGTTACCAGAGTTGTCCTTAAACAAAATCTCACTTCATTTTCCCTCTTTAGGCAGAAAGCCCAGAGCTAACTGAATGCATTCTCTCTCTTCTTCAGTGACTAAACGTAATGCTGATGTGTGCATATAATGTGGGAATCACGTTAATCATAGGCATACAGATTTCAAAGCCAAGAGTGCTGGTTGTGATGACCCAGTCTGATCCGCAGCGTAACACCAGGCATAGAATTTCTGTCAGTGATTTCTGCCTCAAGCCCATTATTTTGCACCTCAGTTCCCATCTGTATAAACTGCGCTGCAGCTTCCAGACACAGTGTTTGTTATGCCTCTCTCTGCTGCATAAAAGAGTTCTTTGTTCACAGAAACCTTCTACCACACTAAAGTCTTGTGGGCTCTGACCAAGCCACCTCTTCACCTTCTCTTTTCTGAAATGAATAGACTAAGCTTCTTATATCTCTACCCCAAAGATAAGGTTTCCAAGCTTTGAATTATTCTGCAGAAAGACCATAGACCTACGCTCTTGGTATCTCACAAAAATCCCAAAGATATGAAGCTCCTGCAGTACAGGCTCTTCAAAGGTCACACAGTTAATCATTCAGAAGTCAGTAATTTCAGCCTCCCAGTTGGATCGACAGCCTTTGCTTTGCCCCCAAGCATGTGTGTTATGTTTTTAGTTCTGATATTTCTCAGTTTATCCAATAGAATATCCCTGTGCACAAAGTAAGTTTTAAATGGATCTTAGCAGTTGCACACATGCAGGGCTCTGTGTCCATACACAGCACAAGGGCTCAGAAACTCCTTACACACTCATAGTAAACACAGGGCTTAAACTGAAAGTGGTAATAAGTAAGAAATATTTGAGCAATTAGGTGGGGTATCACAAGCAGTCTTGGCTGTTCTGGTTTAGACTTAGGCTTTTAGTTTGGTCTGTTACTGCTGACCTGGTCCTTTAAAAACCAAACTTGGCTGAAAGAGCTGCTCCCAGTATTTCCTGTTACCCTGCTTGACCTGTCATACTTGTGCCCCCATCAAATGCCAGCTTGCCAAATGTCCTGTTCCTGTAATTGCTAGCAAAACCGCATGCAATCCATGTCAAACTAGTCCTTGTTTTCATGGCAAGATTACAAGGTTTTGCAGCAATCTGATGTGACAGAGAGATCTCAAGTAGTTCTCAAACTTTAAAAGTACTAACATTGTCAATGGATTCATCAGGAAATTACTATTTAATACAGAATCCCCTTTACACAGTATCTTAGTATCTGTTTTGGACAGATGTATACAGATATATGCATGCACAACTCCAGATCTCAAAATCCTTGCACATAATTGCATTGTAAAAGTCACTGATTTTAAGAGAGCAAGTGAGATTTAGAAGTTTAACAGAGATGCTTAAGGGACATGGAAGTCCTTGAAGATGTCTAAGATATTAAGCAATCTGTAAGGGGTTCTTAAAATCACAGGGAAGCCAAAAGCAAAACTGTTATATAAATTGCTCTAATCAAGCTAATGAGAATTGAAAGCTCACTTTACAGAATAAATGTCAACTGTTTGCTTTCAAATGTTTTTTCAGGACTTTTTGTTTGCCAATTTCAATCATAGCTTCCATATTTTTTTAATAAATGAAAAAGTTATTCAACCCATGCCTCTTCCCAATATGCAGTTGCTTCTACCTGTTTATATTTACCACTTTCATATTTTTAAAAACTGGGAGCAGGAGGAGCAGCTTGGCAATAGAGCAAGCAAAACAGCATCAATATTTTTTACTAAAAACTGTTGATAAGGTTTTTTTTAACAGAATATATTGGTAAAAAATACTATTTTTTTAATATTTTTATCATTAAAAATCACTAGGCTGTAAATACAGCAAATCCTACAGCTTTAAGTTCTTATTTTGGGCTATCTGCAGACTCCAAAAATGTTCTAAGATTATTTTCACAGACAGTAAGACTAGACATGTCTCTTTTTCTTTTCTATAAATGCTGGGAGTCTCAAGCCCCTTTCCATGGTAGTAAATGGTCTAGATTTCTGACATACATTTGGCACTCTTAATATTTACTCTAAGTATAACATTACTATTTTCTTGCAAAAGTCTGAAACACACAGTCCATTGCCTGATTCCATACTGAGTGTGAGGTAATGCCTCTACCCACTGGTCAAGAAGAAACCTACGAACCAGAGAGATGCTTTTTCAGCAGAGTTGAGCTTGATGTTTTCATTTTCAACATGCTTTGCACTAAACATCACTAAAGCCCTTTCACTAATTCTGATTTTGTGATTTCTGCCACTGACAAGTAGAAGCAGAACCCAGCAGAGCAAAGTGATGTAGCATTAGGGTATTGTTTCAAAAGCAACATCTAAATGTGACGGCTGCTCCATTGTCTGGCTCTTTAAACCCAGCCTAGGATTTTCCTTATGGGACAGTGCTCCAGCAAAATAAATAAATTGGCTGTAGTCTAAACTCCAAAGCCCTCTATAAGATGTTATTGTGTTCCAGGCTAGGCAATAATAGGAGAGACATCA